GATCTTAGTGTAAACAATAGTAGATCTTAGTGTAAACAATAGTAGATTTTAGTGTAAAACTCTGGTCTGATGGTGGGACATATGTCTCTCTTGTAAATGAGCCCCCGAGGCTCAATGGGATTAACCTGTCTAAATAAAGGTTGAATGTCAGAGTCAGATTCAGAGAGATTTATTTGTCATACACGTACATTTGTCATGCACTCCTTCAAAGAAGTTACTTTTTAACTTTAGCCTGCTTTAAGCAGAACAGAAGTAATGATAATTCATTAGATTGTTTATTACATAGCACTGGTACGTTTACTGGTTTATCAGTTGTGTGAAAGTTGATGTGGTAATTGAGATTGATTTCTTTAGCACTGTTAAATTAAATAAACTGCACACTTGGATCTAATTGGCTACAGACAAAACTTCAAACACTATGGGCCTTCCCCTTCACACACAAACATGCCCACTTGGTTCTTAAATAAATAAAGCAATTCCAAGTGGCTTGTGAGTGGTTGCCTGGTGCCATCTAAAATCTCCCAAAGTGTGGCTGAGTAATAAAGTGAATGTGAGAGAAGCATCAGTGTTGGAAATGAGGCTGCTCATTGCTAATGGGAACCAGAGTTGCTTCCGTCTGTTGCCGGCTGTGGGCAAGATGGTTTTTAATCACAGAGCTCTTTGTAAGACTGTTTATACTTCAGCATAAAGTACCAATAGAAGAAAAAAAAATCAAGACTCATACCTCAGTGCCTGATGTGACATGACTAGTGAGGTGCACATTTAAATTGCTCTGCTGTATTATTTGACGTTCAAAGCTCCTAAATTGTCCCTTTAAATAGAATCATGTGGGCTGTCCAAAACTTTAGACACAGCTGCAAGTTTGACAGATGTAAAGTAGCAATTTTATTTGTATAAAGGTAAATAAAATATAAGTAAATACAAATTCATGACTCATTGTGAAGAGTTTCAAGCCTTACAAGGTCAGCGGTGTGACTAGTAAAACAAACACAAGTGTTTTATTTCTTCCTTTATATGACGATTGATTTCTGTAGAGTCTCACTTTAATCAGAATCTTGCCACTCTGTTTACACAACCTTAATTACCCTAAACTCTGTGATTTTTCCCACTACCTCATTTTACCCATGCGAGGGCTGTGATTGGACAAAAAGCTAAATTCTATTTGTTTTTGTTTGTTTTTATGAAGGTATGATGAGGCCAACAAGCACTATGATGCCATTCTCCAAGAAGACCCCACCAATACGGTAAGAGTAAGGACGAAAGGGAAAAGTCCCTCTGCTCAGCATCACAGTTTACCTCACTTTGTGGTCTCAGCTTTTGAAAGGTTTTAAATCTGTCAAGGCACTTTAGTGTTAGCAGTCAGAGTTCATGAAGCTAAAGTCGCTTGGCCTTTCTGGACTCAAATAGGGCACTATTTGCAACTGTTGCAGGGTGGGGGCTGTGTGGTGGGGGTGATTCATGATCTAAGTCAGTGTTAGATATGTTTGGGAGGAAGTAAAATGTTATTAATGGTTTGGTCTTTGAAGATGGTGATTTATTAGACCTTTCTGACTCCCCAAGCCCCTGGTCCACCTTCTCTTTTGGCTCCATTGGCTTCAAGTGCAAAGTCTGCTTTGTGGTAACTTGGTAGCAGAAAACTGAGACATAATCTTGACATCTTTTAAGTTTATTTCCTCTTTTAATCTTATAGTTCATCCCTATGAAAAGATGTGGCTGTTTATTTAAATGGTCTTTATCCAGTCGAGTCCTGTCCTTATATTTATTGTACCTGCAGGGGATTGTTTTCCTAAGTGCTTCAACTATGCAAGTGTATTTTTAGAGTTGTATTTCTTTATTTTTTAAAGAAGCCATAACTTGATTTTTTTAAGCTTCATCCCTCCAACTCTTCCTGAGAAATGTTCTACAAGTTTCTACTGCCATGCTGACACGTGGATTGGTTTAGAGGAGTTGGGTTTTTTTCTCGGACATCATGCAGACATTCTTCATACTGTCAGATATCTAGTAGAACAAAACCAAGCTTTCAAAATAACAAAAAAAAAACCAATATGTTTTTAACACTATCCAAGTAACTGCCAGATATTATATATATATATATATATATATATA